ACCAATCTTGAGGTCAGGTGCTCCTAAGGTGCCACAAAATCCCCCAAACCTATGAGTTGATTTTGCCTCATAGGAGAACTGCTCCTTAGCATTGCTGAGATTATAAATCGTTATAGGAGCAAACAGCTTCATCTTTCTTCCATGGAATGGCTGGTGGGTTTGAATCACCAACTTTTCAGTTTACCCCAACACCTAACCCACCTAACCAGTGTCAGCAGGGTTACTTTTATTTACTTAAAAATCAAATAACCCAAACCCACTACCATAGAGCCAGTTCTAACTCACTGAGAGCCTGTGCAACATTCCTGAGGCTATACATCTTTATGGAAGCATAAGGCCTCATATTTCTTCTGGGGAGCAACTGGTGAGTTTGACCTGCAAACCTTTCAATGAGCAGTTCTGTGCTTATCCATCAGCACCTTGGGAAAGCTTTTCTGAGTGATATAAAATTTCAAATAGAAGCACTTTATATACAAAGCATAAAAGAGTTTATTTTTCTCTCACATAAAATTATGGAGAACCTTCCCAGACTGGTGTTTCTATGGTCATCTGGGATCCTGGTTCCTTCTACTATGTTGTTCCTCCATCCTAATATACTTCCACCTCATGGTCCATACATCCTGCCATTAGAAAGGACAAAAAGGAAGAAGAGCATAGTCACCATGTCAAGATAAATTAATCCAGCATAGGAACCACTGTCAAAAATAGGAAAACAAGTCATCATTGCAGCTAAGCTGTTGTTTTTGTGTGTTGTCGAGTTGGTTCTGACTCATAGCGACCCTGTATAGGGTTTCTGAGACTGTAAGTCTTTACAGTAGCAGAAAGTGTCATCTTTCTACCACAGAGAAAATCCAGCTGGCGGATTTGAACTACTAACCTAGGCCATTAGTGCTCCTATGCAGCTATGCTTCTTGCTGTTGTTAAGTACCATTGTGTTGATTTTGACTCATAGCAACCTTGTATAGGGTTTCCAAAGAGCATCGGGTGGGTTTGAACTGCCAACCTTGTGGCTCGCAGTCCAGTGCTGATCCTGCAGCGCCACACCTCACACTTATTGAGAATAATTTTTATTTCATATAAAAATACAGCATTTATGTGGGTGCAGTATATATGTTATTGCTAAGTGCTGTTGAGTCGGTTCTGACTTGTAGCAACCTTGTATATGGTTTCCAAGGAGTCCAGTGCTGATCCTACAGTACCACACCAAGACTCCATATAATATATGTTGTTGTTGTTGTTAAGTGCTGTCAAGTCGATTCTGACCCATAGCGACCCTGTATAGGGTTTCCAAGGAGCAGCTGGTGAGCTTGAACCACCAACCTTGCAATTCAAACGACTTTGCAGTCTCATGCATTAGCCCACAGCGCCACACTAGGACTCCACATAACAAAATAATCAACTGTTTATGTTATCAGTAAGGCTTCTAGCCATCAGTAGGCTATTAAGTTTTGGGGGAATCAAAAATTATATGTGAATAATTGTCTGTACAAGGGTTGTTTTTAAGTGCCGTTAACTCAGTTCCAATTCATAATGATCCTGTATAGGGTTTCTGAGGAGCAACTGGTGGGTTTGAACCTCTGACTTGTGGTTCAAGTAGACCTTATAGTCCAGTTGGGTGCCCCTAAGTCCTACATTGTTTGTGGGTCAGCTGTATTTTATGTTCCAGTTTCAGAACCAGCCGTTTCTCCAAGGAGTCCTGGTTCCTTTTATTAGATAATGGTATTAGAAACCAAGAACTAGTTTCCAGGAGTGCTTGTTGCTACTTGGGTGTTGTTGCTTCTAGGTTATCTCAGTTGACTAAGCATAGAAATATACTGCTGTGTGCTATCAAGTAGATTCTGACTATATGTGTGGATAATAATCTGAGTATGTACATATACCTATAAATATTTCTCTATGTAATCATCCTTAACTATATTAAGTGAAAGATGCGTTTATCCGGATGTCTCCAATTCGAATCCATTACACACGAATAATTCTAGCCTCCCTCTCAAGGGTCAGTTTTATCATAAGCCATGTTGCCTAGTAACATAGTTGACACATGTTTATCTGTTTCCAGGGAAACAGCTAGACAATAAGTCCATGGTCAACTTTTCATGCAAAAGAGGAAAAGGTTTTGTTAACCCTTTACCCACATCCATCAGTGGCTCCCCACTGCTCTGAGTATAAAAAACAAAGCTGCTTTCCCTGGTCGATAAGGCTGTATAACTGCCTGTCCCTAGCCAAAGGGCCAGCTTGAATTGCTACACATTCCTTACTGAGCACTCCATAGCAACCACACTAGTCTCCTTCATCCCTCTTCTGTACCATACTCCCTTCTATCCCAGGACCTTTGCACATGCTAGTCTTTCTGCTGGACCACTTTTCCCTGCCTTTTACCTGACTGCCTCCCACTCACCTTTCTGATTGATCCCTGTTACCCTCCTTACCCTCAAAATTAGGACAACACCTCTGCTTCGGGGTCACCCATCACCTTGCCTTGTAACGCTTAACACAATGTTACATTTACTTATCATTTTCTCCTGCGAGAATAGGCATTTCTTGAGAGCAAGAATGCACTAGTTCATTGTTGTTGTTAAGTACCGTGGAGTCAGTTCTGACTCATAGTGACCCTGAACAGGGTTTCCAAGGCTGCAAATCTTTATGGGAGCAGAAAGCCTCATCTTTCTCCTGAGGAACAGCTGGTAGTTTTGAACTGCCAACCTTGGGGTTAGCAGCCCGATTCATAACCACTACGTTACCAGAGCTCCTTAAATAAATGCTCAATAAGAATTTCTTCATTTTTTTCCTTTCTGTATTCAAGAAGTACTCAACAAAGGCTTACTAGGTGCTGGGTCTTTTTACAGACTCTGGGAATAATGCAGGGAGGGAAACAGGCAAAGCCATTGGCCCCTTGGCATGTATTTTTCAGTGGGGATAACATTAAGCCATATTAGAAGCTCACAACTCCTAGGGAGACAAAGTCAGGGGAATGACTGAAGGGCACGGCTATTTTAAAAAGGATGGTCTAGGAAGGTGTCTCTAAGAAGGTGACATTTGAGCAAAGGTTTAAAGTAAGTAGGAAATAAGCTCCTGGGATATCAGGGAGAGGGAACAGAAAAGGCAAAAGCTCTAAGGCAGATTTGTACATGGCTGAGAAAAGGAGTCGTGTGCTGGCCTCTTTAAAGGAGTGTCTCATCTAATCCAAGTAAACCTTCCTAAACCCATTTCACAGATGACAAAACTGAGCACCAAGTGGGAAGCCCTTTGCCTAAGATCACACCGCTGTGAGTGGTGGAGCTGGGATTCACACAAGAATTTTACTCAGACTTTGTTTCTCCCTCCACTGGCATACCTGACAGCAGTCCGTCTGCAGAGCTGGAAGCCAATCATCTGTCTGGAAAGCCTGGAGGAGACTGAGGTCTTCCCATCCAGCCCTGGAGGTTCTTCCCAGGGCTCTACCATTCTGGCCTTAAAGACCCAGATTCCCAACTTCTGGGGTAGCCTCTGTCCAACTGGTTAGTAAGGACCATATAGATTTATAGGGGAGGATAAATTGGGAGGAAGTGGCTGAGGAGCCAGGATGGGGCATCTGTATCTGCTCATTCTTCCAAGTGGCCAGCCTCTGCTGAGCCTCCCAAAGTCCCTGCAGCCTGCACATTCAAAGTTGACACCAACTAAGGTTGGTGGTTCAAACCCACTAGCCACTCTTCAGGAGAAAGGTGGGACTGTCTTCTTCTAGAGATGTACAGAGGAGGTTGCTCTGAAGTTACAATCAACTCCATGGCAATGGATTTGCAGCAGCTGAATAGATTATGAGACTGAGAGGTAAAATATGTCCGCTAGCCACTGAGGCTTCTAGAACATCTCTCTGAGTTTGGTCTGGACCCCAAAGGAGGGAAGTTCCTCCTTAAATTTTGTGCTCTAGAGCCTCTATCTTTTCACTTGAAAGTAAAGAAACAGTGGAAGTCCCCCTCCTCATTTCCTGTTCACCCCACTTTCAGACATGGGACTGTCCTACAGGAACTGCCCATCTGATACAAAATAAAATCACAACCCTTAGAGACAAGGATAACTTTAACAATGAAGGCAAATGGAGAGTCCAGAGACTCTGGGACAGAGGAGTGTGTGTGTGTGTGTGTGTGTGTGTGTGTGTGTGTGTGTGTGATATCCAGGTGGGCTTCCCAGAGGAGGAGGTACTGCAGCTGGGCCTTGGGTGGCCAAGGTGTGCCTGTGATCATTGGCAATACCCCAAGGGAACACCCCTCTTGGGCTGTGCCTCACTGTCCCACAGATAAAGAGCAAGGAGAAGGGGGAGGAGGCTGCTGTACGACTCTTTCTTTCTGTCTCCAGGTGGCGCCCTTGAGCCACAGAGCTGGACGCGCCCAAGGAGACTGTCCCGACCTATAGACCTCAGAAGGGCCCTCGAGTCCCACGTGTGCGTGTGCGTGTGTGTAGGGGGGGCATGTTAAAAGAGGGGTCTGAGGACTGCCCGTGGCGCAGTTGGGTGTCCCGGGTGGAAAAGAGAGTTGGGCGGGGGAAATCAGGCAACGGGGGTGGG